TGAGTATTGTCCAGTGGAGCCGAACCAACATGCTGCCAAGCATTCTTATCTTCAAGATAATCTGTCAGTGTGTAGTAAGCTTGATTACATAATTCGCGCTTAATATATGTTTTAAATTTACTTTCATTGAGATCTAGTATGCTATTTGGTATTTTATTATAGCATTTAATACCTAACCCCATAAAGGATTTCTGTACTTTGGACAGTCTGAATTGCGGTATAGCTAACTTATTTTTGCCTCTAGTATTAAAATTGTGTCTATCGCTTCTTTTTTCAAACAATTGCCTATTTTTCCTTACATACATTATATTTTCATATATATATTGACAGGGCACCGTTAAAATATTTATCGTTTTAAACAATTCTCTCAACGATTCGCAACGGCGTAAGTTATATATTGCTCGGATAGCCCGCTTTTGCAGAATAAATATTGATTCTATTTCTGCAGCTCGACCCCACAACAAAATGCCGTACGACATAATGCTGTGGAAATAACTAAAATAGACAAGCCTAGCTGTATCCACGTCCGTGAGCTGTCTAATCTGTCTAACTGCAAAAGCAGCTGAGCTCAATCTCCCCGAAAGCGCCTTTATATGCGGACCCCATTGTAGCCTATTGTCTAACGTAATGCCTAAAAATACTGTCTCGTCGACAAAAACTCGTCGAGTACCGTCATTATAGACACAATTATAGAACAATAGGTTGCGGTCACCGGTGACCGCTTGGTGTTTGACAGTTTAAATGACTTTGATGTAATTATGTTGTCCATAGTCATATCTCCAAAGAGGCTCTTACCAAACGCGTATGTTATGCCTTTTATTCCTTGAACAGGTAATCAGAGGAATAGCATACGCAATATGTGATGTGTATGTGAAATTGCATATGTTCGCGCGACACACAAGACTATTCTAGAGCGATAAATAAATATTTTATCTTACTTACGACCACAATACTTATGATCTAACGTCTGAATACCGAAGGCCTACTCAATTTTAAGTAGTATTTAAATATCGTGCATCTCTGTCATTTTACAATGATTTTTTTGTGACAGAACTATACTTAAGCGCGACTTAGTATTTAGACGTAAGCCACACACTTTACAATCCGCAAATAATACAACTTGACTTCCAAAACTCTTACAAGACATTACACCAAGGCTCGCAGGCGCCGACTCTAATTTCTTTCGAGACGACTTAAGCCGGTATAAGATAGGTACATAATTCTCGCCCGCAATTACCTAAGGAACCTAAATGAGATACCCTAACGCCACATTCCGCAAATAATCTTACACAATATACCCTGCTTAATTGTAAATAAACAATTCCTTGGAGATAATTTATTGTAATTAGATGAAGATTCTAAAATATATGGAATCTTTTTACAAAGGTACATAATGAAGTTTTTTTATGGGATAAGCCGGAGTGATACCACTACCTCACAGAAAACCGACGTGAAACAACGCTTGCGTTGTGTTTCGTCGTGTGAGTGAGGCTTCCGGAGGCCCAATTACCCCCCTCGATAGTCCCCAGTCTCCCGAATTCCAGAATCCTCCACAATCCTCAAATTCCCAATTCCCAAAAGGCCAGTAAACCACTTGTAACGCCTTGGTGTTTCGAGTGTCCATGGGCGGCGTCGATTGCTTACCGTCAGGTGATTCGTTTGCTCTTTTTTATATCATAATCCGATAAACGAGCAGACGGATCACGTGGGGGATTCGGGAAGACTGAGGAGAGAGGTAATTGGGCCTCCAGTAACCTCCCTCAAAACAACGTAAGCGTTGTTGCACGTCGGATTTCTGTGTATAATTATGCCTGATGATTAGTGCCCAGAGCCACCCATGGACACTCACAACAACTCGGGCTGCTGCACAACCTGGTACAGTACGTACTTATAATAGACCATATTATCCATTTTGACGTAAAAAATCTCTTACTTAAGTATTCGGTAATATTCGCCTACAACTTCACACAAATATAATTACTGTAAGTGTTCCTGTAACCAAATTACGTAGTACACTAATTAAGCTAGTGAATGCCGACATTAATAAAGTTACAAAATTAACTTGAAACAGATTAACCAATTTGTTCAGTGAAGCTCGGTCTAGGCACTTTAACATAGTTATTTTCAAGGGAAAATTTTCAATATTAGGTACGTGTTTGGAGAATTTTATTGTTTTTGACATTATTTAACCTAAAATCGTATTTGATACCCAGAAATATAAGGCAGAGAGCCGATAATTTGATGAGTCTACGTTTGGACCCTATCTCGCCTGGTGATAAGCGATGAGGCCTACGATGAAGCACGTCTGTCCATATTCACTTAGGCTTTGAAGTTCTTTTTTCTTCCAAAGTATTAAGGTTCAACAAGTAAGAATTTTTCTTCTATTCCTAAGCGTAATAAACTACGATGTAAATGAGAGTAACTTAAAACAAGCACGAGCAACATGACAGCGAAATATCTAATAATACTTTACTCGATCCGATGTATAATAAACAGCAAAGTAACATAAGATAACATCAAAGCGAAGAATGTAATGGAAACTGCGATATAAGTATACGATGTAGAGGAAAAGAATTGGGATACAGATAGAACATTATTTTAATTCGAGCCCTTTATAATAAACTCAGATTTTCCTCATGAAGATTGTCAGAAATATATAACAACACGTGCCTTTAACGTTATCCACATTATTACGCAGTAATCCCATTTTAAACTGGGAAAGAAAAACAGCCCAATTTTTCAATGTACCCACTTTTTAACATTTAATCGAGTGTCATGTAATAAGGGATATAAGCATGTTGTGATAATATTGGCCATCATTCTAGGTTTAAAATTTAAGAAAAAACTATTATTATTTACTGGACTCGAAAATCTATAACCCTGGATGCCATGCTCGGCAGTCGCGCTTACAACCACTTGATAATACAAAAAAGCTATCAAACATCGTGTCAACTTTCAACATAAAATTCATCCAATAGAAAGATAAACAACGATAATAAATCAACCTTATTTAATTTTTTCATTAGGGATCGTCCATTAGGCGCAATAACGCAATCCATGAAAAATATTAAAACCTTCTGTCATGTCAGAATTCATTTTACAAATTAAAAGCAGTATCATTCCTTTTTTGTGAAAATGGTTTTTAAAACGTTTCGGTTTTGCATTAATGAGAAACGAGTTATCGATATTTACTTTCGTAAATGGTCCTTCGATTCTGGTTTTATCACTTACTAGCTACTTCCGCGCGGTTTCACACGCTCTGCTCAGCTCCTATTGGTCGTAGCGTGATGTTTTATAGCCTATAGCCATCCTCGATAAATTCGCTATCCAACACAAAAAGAATTATTCAAATCAGATTTGTAGTTACGGAGATTAGCGCGTTCAAACAAACAAACAAAAAAACAAACTCTTCCGCTTTATATAATAGTATAAGATATAAGATTTTTCCAGGAAGGGACAAATGTAAACAGTCCACTTGGATGCTTTACACTAGTCACGTTTTACGAAGGGTCATAGAGAAATGTTGAATTGAATACCAGGAAACCAAGTCTAAGAAGGCCCTTCAAGGTATCCCTACCATACTTGTGTCCAATCTTCACACCAACGGACCAAGGACACACGTGATTCTTCAAATTCAATGAGATTGTTGTGGATATTATGAAGAAACTACAATTCGCAGAACAGAAAAAAAACTGACCCTTGAAAGATAATATAATATCTGCAATCTGAATGTCAATATGTGTTAACAATGTCCTTTCCAGAAACCTCGTCGGGTATATTTCATTTCAAATCTTTCATTTTGATAGAGCTTTGGATCAAGCCCAATATTCATATGAAGAGTCAGTAAAAATGGAAAAGAAAACAGAATCTAATAGTGTTCAGAAGAATTCAAGTGTGGGAGAGCCATACCTCGGCACGAATGGGCCGGGTCGACCGGAGTGTTACCACGAACTCACAGAAAACCGACGTGAAGCAACGCTTGCGTTGTGTTTCGTCGTGTGAGTGAGGTTACCGGAGGCCCAATTACCCTCCCCTTTCCCTATCTCCACAATCCCTGAATCCCCAACGATCCTCAAACTCCTAATTCCCAAATGTCCGGTAACGCACTTGTAACACCTCTGGTGTTCCATGGGCGACGCCGATTGCTTTCCATCAGGTGATCCGTCTGCTCGTCATCATCATTATATCAGCCAGAACACGTGCTACTAAACATAGAACATGTGACATCAGACACAGAATCAAACGGATTATCGATACCTAAATACAAACGACGTACCATTTAAGTACAATTGTTGTCGTTTCTATTCCTATTGACAAACCATCATGTCACCGATTTTCACCCATACGAAGCGACCGACGACAGATCTTTTGTCTATTTTTGTTTACCTAAATTGGAATTTATGGTAACAAGTTTCAGAGGCCTCGTATTTAATGGTCCGCTACGCCATGGAAACTTGTCACCTATATTTTGTAAGAGTATGTTCATAAAGATACAGACAGCACTTTCGGCGACAGAAATTTACAACTGTTTCAAATACTTGGTACAGCGAAGTTAGTTGCTCATTAAAACTATGATGTTTTAATTTCTCTCTGTGATACCAAAAGTCGTTTTGATGATTGAATTATATTTTAACAAAGTTCTATTTTCACAGTTAATAAAAAGATTGAACAAATAGCAATAAAATTTGAACAGAACTTTTTACAGTACATTTTCCATTTACAGAGTAAACTTTAGAATCCTTTGTAACGATGCAGCTAACAAAGCGTGTCATTCAAGACCGATGGGTGTAAGAAATGCGGCGATAAAACAAAGAGTACCCGACGATGTACAGTTCGCGAATAAAAAGGAAAAACAGTTGTGGTCGCGCCCTACGCTCGCGCCTCGCGCCCGCCCCCGGTATCGATCGGGCGCGTTATATAACCCTCCCCTGCGCGCCCGCGCCGCACCCCTGCCAGCAAGATACCTTTCGCAGGGTATATCATTCATAAGTCAGGTTCCGCAGCCGGCGGTCCGCGGTCGTTCCTTCCCGAAGCTTCAGCTCCTGCTTCCTGCGCACCTAGTTCTGCGCAAGTTGCCCAGCACCGACTGTCAGTTGTTGTCTAAGTCCCGGTGTGTACGAACGCTTCGCAGAATTTCTAGCAGTGTTTTGTTGTGAACAATCGCGATAAATGTACTAAGGTAAGTGATCTAATTACTAGTCCTCATGTTTCAGCCAATTTCTTTGAATTGTTTTATGTGTATTGTACCCATGTTGTTGTGTACGTATCCACAGGTCATTTTGCTAGCTCGTTTTATGGGGCAATAAAAAAGGTAATTAATCAGGTCAGCCTGAATGCGGTGCCCGGGTAATTGTTTGTTATATCAGCTGTTAAATTGTTAGGCTACAATTGCTGTAGGTAGGTATATTATTGTCCTAATTCATTTAGTCAACAGACGGACTGAATACACATGCTGTTCAGTTGAGCGTATTTTGGTTGTTCATCAGAGCTCGAGACTGTCTGATCCCGTCCTAATTAAATTTTGATTAAAAGTGAAATGTTTACTGTCTGAGTTAATTGTGTTTCCTAGAATTACCATTTTCCAGAAATTATAGCTGTACGTTTAGGTACTGTGTTTGTTGTGTTTAATCTGTCAGATTTTCTTCATTTTCATTTTTAATCCTCCGACCAGATAACTATTTTAAAAAACTATTTGTTTTTAATTTCAAAGACGTCATTTATCTAATTAACTGGTGTGTGTAAAATAACTCAGAAATTACGTTCGTTTTAAAAAATATTCTTGTAGCACACATATCTAATATACGTAGGCTGAAGCTGGGATACACTATCTATCGATATGCAGCTCAACTAACACTGGTTGGACATGTAAGCCAATATTTTACACGCAGCAGTTTATGTATTTTTGCATTAAGAGCGAAACAAACAAGGACTTTCATAATTTATATGCACAGCAAAGCAATATTCTTTAAGTACTACAAGTTTCAAAGCTTTAAAACATGAATGAAATGATAAAACAAGTACTAAATAAAACGTTGTCGTTGGAATTGCAAGCAAACTACAAGTTTACGGTAATTTTATCATCATCATCAACAGCCTATAAATGCCCACTGCTGAGCAAAGCCTCTTCTCACATGGAGAAGGTTAGAGCGTTAATCATCGGTAATTTTATGTGTCTTTCATTTTGCATAGACCTTTGTTAGAGACTTTAATACCATTAAAACAGATCATAATAAGAATAAGAATAGAATAGGCGGGTGAGCCTATTGCCATTATATTACATGGGACTCATAACATATATAGTGAAAAGTGGGTGTTACATCTGTGTGCACCTCTGCCTACCCTCTCGGGGATAAAAGGCGTGCTGTTATGTTATGTTATGTAAATCTGTTAAGCACAGAGTCTGGATTTGTAACCAGAATTAGACAATAAGCTGGTCTTGTCTTATTTTCAATGACAAATAATAATTGATTAGTCAAGATTAGTTTCGGGGCTGGGTATTTCTTCAAAAAACTTTAACTTTTATTCAACAAATCATTATCCTCCCGCGTTGTTAAGCATCGCGGTAACTTATTAGCATCTGTATTTTATTGCATTGGGTGAAAGCAGTGGTATGGATCAATTTTTTGAAACTAAACTTTGTATTTTAATCAGCAGAATTGTTAACTGTGGCTTAAGGATAATGACACCGTTAATTTTTTGGTTTTTTTTTGGAGAATCACCCGGCTACTGATTAACCCCTCATGATTGTAATAGATTTTCATTTACGGAAACCAGATCTGACATTTTTACGAGCTACACGAGGCACAGAGATACAACAACAATGGTGTTTCGACCTCTGATTTACTGTTGCAATTACATGTTAAATAAACCCAATGAAACTGCAATGCAAAAGTAATTAGGTCAGATAAACCCTTCAAGTTTTGCTCGAAACGGGAATCAAACCGCTCCGTCTGGCAACTATTCGGTAAACGAAATACTCTAGACTGGTGATGCTAAAAGATGATTAGCTTTCATAAGTCTCCGATTCAAATTCCTTCGGGCAAATAGATGTTTAAACTGTCAAACACCGCGAGGATCCCAGTGTCCTCACACCTATTGTTCTATAATTGTGTCTATAATGACAGGACTCAAAGGGTTAAACTTTTTTTCAAAACTCCGAAATTATGTTCAGTATTATAAAGAATGAACTCATAATATAATTGAAAAAAAATGGATGCTACATTTTTAACACGTGCATCTCTGCCTATTTCATACTCATTTTAATCCATAATCGCTGAAATATCGAGGTTCTACTTTTGTCACGACTCACGACGAGACATTCACGCCGGTCATATTAACCTTGAAACGCTAACGCTACACTTCAATGGAGCTATCTACCAAATGAGGGGAGGGGTGCGTTCAGCATAATACATGCTTGCTTTTATAAATATTCTTCTTCTAAACCAATCTGAACAAAGACTGAATAAAAGAGTTTCTAAAAGAATAACACTAAAGGATCAACATTCTTGTAGTTATTTGACGAAAGATGAAATGACTGCACCTCAGTCTTTTCGTACATCGACGCGTCGCGTTCCGCGCGCCTCAAAGAGCCATCAGAACACCACGGATGGGGCTCAATAGGGCTGATGCCAATAAGGAGCAGCAGACGACTTAACGGGTTACCGGGGCTCCGGCTCGAAGTGCAGGAGTAGGAACGGGGTGGTTTTATAAGAGTCTAACACTCCTTCTTGCCTCACCCGGGCGATAGAAGTCATTGAATGATTTTCCCTCTCAAAAAAAAAGTCTTATTGTACATCAGTAATTGAAATAAAAAATTTTAACCACCTCTGAATTTTATGTCATCATCATCATCAGCCCATGTTCGTCCACTGCTGCAGATACACCTCTCCAATGGCACGTCACTGAGATCGGTCTTCAGCTCTTTTCATCCAATCACTGCCACCTTGAGGATATATCATCACTCCACCTAGCTGAATTTTATCTATCAATGCGCAAATAAATAAGTAAGAAAGAAAACTTCATGCACCAACATATATATCTAATAAAAAAATTCTCTGCACTCTATACTTTGTTTGAAAGTGGCCCCTCCATCAATTGATAAGTATGGTACGACATGTTTACTTATTGGACCCTTGTCAAAGTTTCCAGGGTCTACTCGTGGCGCATTTTCCCTTTTTCCAATTTAGTATTTGACCCAAATGCACCACGCTGTTTCATCGTCCATTACTGGGACGTTCCTTTTGCCGGTATGACTATATTTTATGGCTTCGAGATGGGAGCATAAGTTATGGTGGTAAAATGTAATTCACATTTCTCTGTAACAACTCCCTGTCTTAAAATAGAGCTTTAAATTAGTTATTCTGTTATTGTAAAATTGTTAATATTATGAAGTGTTTGTGTTAGATTACATCCCATTGCTACTCATTTCTTGTTTCTAAAATCGACCACACAAAACCATGAAGGTCTTGTAAAGGTTGATGTGCATTGTAACCATTACTCGCCAGTTGCAGGTCCCTTATCGTAAAAAGTCTGGGCACGGCATTCGACGCATCCGCAGATTTTTTATTATGGAAATTTCCGACATTAGAAAATCGCTAAAAATCAACTGAGATCTTAACATGATCCTCGTACCACAAGACAATCGGCGATGCGTCACCGATTCATGGTATATGTCCCATCCACATGCACGAAGCCCTTCGCATCAAGCTTCTTTGGGCGTAGGTACTGCTAAGGAGTGGAATTCTTTGCCAATCTGTATTTCCTGAAGGGTCTGAGTCGGACGACGTGGACCATCCTAGACCGCATCATCGCTAACCACCAGGCGAGATAGTGGTCAAACGTAGGCCCATCAAATATAAAACAAATGACAATCAATCTCTTAAGACAACTATATACACAACAGTATCTTTTGCGGTGACGCAACCCACAAAATAGTCGCGGTAAACTAAACGTTTGTGCTTAACCTCAACAATTTATTAGAACTAATGTAAGTTACTTTCTTCCACGACCTAATAGCTCCTTCGTGAATAGTTCAGTACTTAAACACCAGCCAGATGGTCTTAGCACTAATTAAATAAACTTAATACAAATGACAAAGATAAAGTAGATACGGCCTTCCTTTTAATTAAGGTAATAGACTAAAAACATTGTACTTTCTTTTGTCCCTTAGGCTAAAAGAATAGGGACAGAATATAATTAAATAGCTACATTAAGATAGCAATTATGTACAAGGACACTAACCACTTAAGTTGTCTTTTTTATCTCTACTCTCGTTCATGTTAACGTGGATTAATTTTCTTCAATTATGTCATTCGGAGAATAAGTGTATAGTACAGGTGTACAGATGTGTATTGTCAATTAATTATAACTTGAAGTTTTCATCAACGAGAATTTATTAACAATCATCAAATTAACAAGAACAAAGTCACATCTAGAAACAAGGCTTTATTTCTGTATAAATAAAAATGAATTTCTGTTCGTTCGTGTCGTTAGAACTCGAGAACGCTTGAACCGATTTGGCTAATTTTGATGTTTAAATGTACGTGGATGTCCGGGAAGGTTTAAAAAGTGAGAAAAAAATAGGCGGTACGAAGTTTGCCGGGCCAGTTAGTCTTCTTATATTTATAACATTTACCACAAACTAGCGTCTTACCAGCGGCTTTGTCCACATTTCCGTGGCATAAAAGTAGCCTATGTGTTATTCCAAACTATACTCTACCCCTGTTCCAAATTTCATTCCAATCCCTTCAATCATTGTGACGTGATTGAATAACAAACACACAAACTTTTGCATTTAATTTAATATTAGTAAGAATACTGAGGCCTTAGTACGAGTTTGTTTTACGTTTAAAGTAATCGTAACGAGTACGCGTTCGGCGCTCTGATTGGCCGGCGCCAATGAACCAACCAATCAGCGCCGAACGCGTACTCGTTGGCCTCTCGAAAGGCCTCTGCACACTTACACATGCACAAGTACATAGAACAATAGGCATCATGCAACGTTAATATTATACGAATTCATACGAAGAGGCAGACAGCTTAACATATCAAACAGAATGCATTTCAACGAATTCATTCGTACCACCTAGGCAATTTGTAATTCTAGGTACGAGGTTCTACCTACTCGATTTATGTGGGTGGCAGATAAAATAGGATAATTGTACCTCGATATTTGTGTTC